ACCTATGTAGACAGTCACAGCAAGAATCCCACCCAACAGAGATGAACTCATAAGAATTCAGTGGATATGAACTCGTAGAAATGACGGGGACTTCTAATGTAGAAGAAATGAACCTTATTTGAATAAGCCAACAGTAGTATATGCCAACAGTAGTACCATCAAAACATCAATTGCATTAAGAGTTATTTCCATAACTGTTCTCACATTTTTGTAATTGTACAAAATAAATCTCTATAAATATGAAGAAAAAAATACAACTAAAATAATTTTTTACTGACTCTCTGAACAGGAAGTCTTGACTTACTCCCTTTTTCTCTTTCTTTTTTTATTTAGGGTCAAACACACACTAAGCTAGAAAAACACGAATACTTGCTTATCTTATCAGTAATAATTGTTGGAATGACACATGATCTGATAATGCTTTGATAAGAAACTTGGGGATATAATAATGCAAATTCCAATTTATACAAATGTCGGACAGGATGAAATTGAACTCATCTGTATGTGCACGGGTAGAACTATTACATCTTGCCATCTTGGGCATGGCACATGAAGAAGCTTTTCTTGAACAAACTGAGTTCAAATGGCTTAAAAGGTTACAATTACACCCTCAGGATAATTTCTTTTGATGGAGGTAGATGATGCTGCCATTCCTACACGAAAATGGTTACCAAGAAAGGGTTTGATAGACATTGTTAATTGTCCCTGGGACTGCGAAAAGGAATAGAATAGAACCCATATTACATTTGAATGTAAATTTCTAAAATATGTTACCCATATTACCTAACCCGAGTTAATATATCTGAGGAGGGCATTCTAATTTGCTCATATAAAAAAAAATTAGCTACCAAACCAATAAACTGTATTTGTTTGCTTTCATATGCAACATCATAAAACCCCTGCACCGTAAAGTTCATACTAATTTGCTTTAGTAAACCCAATGAACACTATAATTTCTAAATTAAGTTTCTGCTACTCATTTCCACAAGCAGGCTGCAGCTAGCCAACTACAACTCTACAAGTATACAACCAGGTAGAAAGTCCAGCCCAACCAAATCCAGGGAGGGAGAGGGGGAAAGAACCCTCTCACAATGTTTTGGGAGTTGCTGCACCTCTCCCAAGCCACAAAATCAAATACAGTTCTGCTATTCATTTCCACATGCATGATAGAACAATAGAACTCTAAACATTTTACATTGCATCTTAAACTCCATTACAAA